CGTAGACAATACTTTATGATACTTATTTTTAAACACGGTTACTGAGCATGGGCCCGAAGGCCCTCAAACGTTGAGTGGCCGAACAGGACTATCACAGTTTTAACTGATAAGCATTGTCACGTTTCTTGAATTGGTGCAAGGCTATTGTTGTTTAGTATAAGAGCTGGGGAGGAAAGACGATGGGAGAGGGGATTCCCAAGTGAAGCAGTTGATGGAAGAAGCAGAAAGAAAAGTGGTGTGACCAGTGGTGTGGTGCAAGTCATCTACCTGTCTGGCCTCTCTCTTTATGTGCTATAAAGAAAGGCCTTTTCCTGAAATGTCACCAATTATGTTTTTCTTTTAAATGCAGTCGTATTTACATTTGTGTTTAATTTTTTGTTGTTTCCTGTGCTTGTGCACCACTGCCGACGCAGCAGCAGCAGCAGGCAATCGCCAGATAATTTATTTCATTTTGCAGTGTTGGTGGTTGAGCACAGTGTGGATAAGAAATCGATGAGTTAACATCACAGGAACAGTCTGTGTCCTCCCTGCGCAACTCAAGCAGAGCGGGAACACTTGGATTATTTATGCCTTGTCGTGTGATCGCGTTCCAGTCGCCAAGTGCATAACATTTTCCCTGTCGCCCATTCGACAGGGTTGGCTGCACACCTATATCCAGGTGAGCCGTCCAGGTCTACTAGACACATTCTAATCTGGATTATTCCCACCGTTTCATGTGCTCGCTTTCCAGCGGCAAAACACGTAAGACGCCGCTCCTCGACTTGTCGACGTGGGTGGAGGAACTTATGAACCGTTTGCGAATGTTTTTTTTAAAGATAACTCGGGTGAACGCGTGGCTTTTCAACACGAAGCTGAAAGCGTGATTTTTCGCGTGTACTGAGCCACTCAAGAGGCTGCAAAGGATGCTCCTCAGCTGCTCCCACGCGGCAGGTTCTTGCAGCCCGAGGGGTTGGCCCTTGACAAAATAAAGAGACGAAGTGCCCTTGAAACCTTCAGCCACTCCCCCACGTGTACATTTATACTTGTGGGACAGTATATATTGTCCACATCATCCGTAGTTTGTGTGAGTAACTTTGCGGATTTGAATTGTGTTAGATTGTTCCACTTGTACTTACATAATGGCTATCTTGGTGACATCACCCTACCTAGCAGGTCTATGTGCTGTGAAGATGGGCCATTGCTTGAAATGTCACCTATTATTTAGTTTTTTTTATTTTCAAGGCCACAGTGTTATTGACATGTACTCGTGCAGTTCTGCCAATGCAGTGTCATCAGAATAATTTGTTCAATCTCGTCTCAAATAGATTTTGGGAGTCCCCACCGAATCGGTTAAACAACCGTTTTTTGGTTGGGTGGCGAGGCGTTCATCACCAATATGTATTCGTTCATGTGGAGGTTGGGTAGTGAACCAGTGAGCGGCTTCAGGAATAGCCATATGGTGAACATCCAGAAACGGCACCAGTGAATAATCGAAGCTATGTGGGTCCACGCTCTGAGATTGGTGACCACAGTCACACTGCGGGCTATTCTTATTTTTCTATCCGTGTCGGAGATAGCCGTGTCTGTCACGCGACGTTTGGATGCAGTTCAGTCCAGGCGATTGTTTTGTGGGGTAAATTGAAACCGGGATGTTTTTCTGTGGGGCGGGCACTGCATAGATGGCTGGTGAAGACTCTAGATGGGCAGAGCATAAGTTCGTCGTGTCTGTCAACATGGTCCAGAATGAGTTATAGTGCTCGAGTTGCCGACGACACAGTAAGTCATGTGAATTCAATGGAAATCGGTCTTTGACTCCACAAACAAAAGTTGAACACACGGAATGCCATGCTTTGTTGTGGTTTTGGGTGAAGGTTTATTTTGGCGCAGGTAAAAACCCATTGGGCAAGAAACGTTCATTTTCGATGGGGACCTGCTTATAGCAACAATAACAACAACAACTAAAAAGAACACGCGAACAAAACAATCCAAAAACCACTTATGTGGTCAAGGCTTCTGAATGGCAGAGCCGTGCATTGGTGGTGGACGTGGCCTTTGCCCAAGAGCCCATTGCCCCCACAGCAGCTTGGCCCAGCTGAACCGAATTCCTCCCAGACCAAATAAAATCATCATGAAATAATTTCTGCGTTTAGTATTCGTGCCGTTGTTAAAACTGCAAAGGTTTTCCCGCACCTCCGATTGGCATGGTTGGCTACATACGGTGCGAAAGAAGTTCAACATACATATATATGCCGACGATCTGGATTTTGTGGTAGCGGTGATGTTGCTTTGTAGCTTTTACCCATGCAGGTAATTTGCGGGTAAATTTCAAATTTGTCTAATTTGCACTGTGACAGCGGCATACGTTGCCAACTCGTTTTTTTTTATTCAAATATTGTTGCGGGATCTTCTTCAACGGTCCACCGCGACGCAAACGCCAAGTGTCCTCACGGTGGGCACGCCCACAGTGTGGGCCAGGGCGGCTCGCTATGCTCGCATGGTGAACTGCTGCAACAGGCAGCAGAGCGGTGCTACGGCTCGCCCATGTCGCCACCCCAAGACTGTGAGGGCCACCCCCAGACCTCCTTCCGAAACCGAGCCAGATGCTTGGTCGAAGCCTGGCGCACCGTGGAATCGTTCGCGGCGACGCGGGGGGGGGTCACTGTGGAAGAGAGACACGCGTGGCATGACATCACTCGCTTAGTTTAACCTCCCGGCTGTGTTAGTTTTAAAAACCCACGGAGGAAAATTATTTAAACTACAATAGGTTAAATTAGTCTGAGCTAATAAGTACCTGCTTTATTTGTGCACCCCTCTGTCAATCCATTGCTGTATGTGAAGCCTTCCCACACGACATCCCTATTGCTGGGTGAGAGTTGGGAGATTGGAGGGTGCGGACTGGTTCAGATATCACTCGGTACTGATGCTAGCCATGGCCGGGAATCGAGCCCAGTTCAGCAGGTTTCGTAACGAAGTACCTCCTAATCACTGCGCCACTGCGCCATGCCATGCGCGCTCACGGATTATGTAACACTTTCCAACATGCGTTGTCTCCTGAAGTATTGCATTTTAAAGTGCGACAGCTCTCGGTGCAATGTGCGTTTGCAAATGGTCCTTTTTTCTCCTGATGACGATTGCTTGTGTTGCGATCGAAACGTCGTAGCTTTTTGTTATTTTTGTTATTTTCTTTGAACCTATCTACGTGACTTTACCGAAAGACCCAAGAATATGGTCCTTTTTTGCTCGGGTTTTTCTCTCCAAGTTTTGGGCAACCGTTGGCTTTATCCATTAGTGTGGCCTGTTTTCAATAGGCTAAGTGTGTTATAGCAACTCCGCTGAAAACTAAAAAGTTTCATTTGTATCGGATCATCCGTTACGGATGGACGGACAGAGCTAATGTATAAGCGCCTTCAGCCTAATGCTGGAAAGCATTGGGGTAAATTTTGAATCCCCACTCCCTGGCTGACGAGGGTAAGAGGTGGAAGATGGATGGGGTAAAGTGGTGAAAGAGGGTTTATGGAGCTTTGGGACACAGAGCCAGGCTCTGGTGCTCTCCCCGGGCCAATCCCCGGCCAATCTTGGGCCACAATATCCCTTGTTCCCACGAGGCATCAATCAATCGGAGTAAACACCGCCGCTTCTTCTCATCAACGATTTCTCACGTGACGTGGTTGTCTTTTCCCCCAGATTTATGTTTTCCTCCGTGACCGTCCATACATTTTGTTTGGTTTGTTTTGTGTCATTTTGGTGACCCAACCTCGCTATCAAATTCCATTATCCTCGTCTCTCTTGAGTTCTCACCTGGTTAAACTAAATCAATTTGAAACTTGTGTGAAGCTGATTTTACTTCGTCTTCAGCTAAATTCTTTTTAAATATCACGGTTGTTTGAGCACAGGCCCAAAAAGGGGCCAGCCTGTTCAACGGCAAACAACAAACAGATATTTTGGGGCTATAATTGATAAGACTTCATACGTTTCTTAAATTGCACGGAGCTGTTAGAGTTTGGGAAGAGAGATTATACGAGTGAGAGTTTCAGAGTCGAGCAGTGTGAGCGAAGAAGCAGTGCTAGGTGTGTGTGTTAAACCGCAGTGCGGCGGTTGAACATGGTACGGACGAGACTAAACAGTAGTCTTACAGACCGAGTCCTCAACGTGGATGGATGAATCGGCGAGTGAAGTTCCGAACCATGATCGTTGCGGAAGAAGAGTGACCAGGAGGCAACTGACCGCTGGCGAGCAAGTGCCGGAACGGCAAGTCTGACTTAGCGCCGGAGTTCCGTGAGATTGTTGTGGTCCAGTCATTGGCACCAAAGCGTGTGCTTGCTTATTTGTTTTGCTCTTCTATTTTCGGAAGTTTTACGTCCCCCCCCACCCCCACCTTGCACGCATGGTCCGCTGTTCGCACGTTCTCCCTGTGCTGCACCCTTGCTTCTACTTTTGGGCATGCGTAAAGTGAAGGCCGTGCCTCCCGTGTTATTCCAAGTCCTCCCTCTGGGCGAGCGTGTTCCGCGCAGAGCGGTCGCTGCCCCCGTCCTCCAATCGCTTTCGGCGAGAGAAATATTCTCTCGGAGAGATCCGGTCCCGTTACCTGGTCCCGGCCGTGCGAGTAGCGGGAACGGAATGTCCCCCGGAGATGACGAGGGGCGTGCGTCTGTTTTTCTTTTTTTGGCCTGTGCTGCTTACTGTCCGTTTGTTTACATCGGTGTCGTCGGATGAAGAAATGTTCGCTTGGAAATCTGCGGCGAGCAGTGCATCATCCTTGTGTCACCTTAAAAGTTATATCTTGGAACTTTTTATTTTGAAGTTGTTCCAGTCGGCCTCTGTCTACACCAGAGGGCACACCTTTTAGAAGCCCCCGCAAAAAGTGTCCGTCGCGTAACAATCAAACCGATATTTGTTAAGTCTTGGGAGCTGGAATGTAGGCAAAATAAGTGGGATACTTATTTATCATTTGGATTTGAGACTGGTAGAGTTGGAGCTCGCACAATTATGTCTGTTGATTGGAGGGTCAGGGAGGGGCGGGGCGAGTTCTGACGAGGTACGAGATGTGGACACCGATCCATTGTACTTCAAACAGCCTCTGGTATCCTGGGGCTGAGACCGACAAAGTCACTTCACTTCACTCGTGAAAACCTGGCTCGTGATTGAATCCCAGACTCGAACTCAGGACCCCGTCGGTGCCAGCTCTGCTCTGACCTCTGGGTCACCCGGCCGCACGTTACCAGGGGTTTGCTGTCTCTCTGATATTGTCCGATGATAGGTCGGCGTGCCTGAGTTCCCATGCCGGATGGGACCACAGGGCAGCTGTTTTACAGCTCTTGTAAACAACAATGACAAAAAAACTAACACATTCGTCCATGACACTGGTGAGCAGCCTTTAAAGGAAAACTATACAATAGGTGACGTTTTGGGCAATGTCCCTTCTTCATAGCACACAAGGTTCGCACAACAGGTGGCATGACCACCCACATGGCCCTCTGCTGCTCACCAGAACCCCACCCATGCCAATTCTGACCAACCAAAGAGCCTCCCAAGTTTAACTTGCCGGCGACGAGGCTTTGTGTTTTGAATTACATGGCTGTACGCCAGCGGCGATTCTCGGCATAGCTTGTCGATTATAAAGCCAAATTTACTTACAAATACCTACGGGGGGGGGGGGCGGAGAGTGCGTATTTTGCTATGTGTGTGTGTTTGTCAATAATCTGCCCTTCACATTCACTCACAAACCACCCGTGGCAGCCGACTCGTATTGTTGCGCTTCGGATTCCCGCCGAGGAGCGCAACGATATTTCACCTCGATGACATTTTCATCGCTGTGTCGGTATTTTTTACAAAAGCGACGTCATTAAGCGGTCGAGTGGCGTCTCTGATTGATGCTGCCATTTCATATGGTTCTCGTGATAGCGCTCGTTGTCATTAAGGAGCTGCTGCGGGGAACGAAAATAAAACAAACCAAATGTTTTGCGCGCGCCGGTGGTGAGCCGCACCGGCCGTGTGCGCCTGGCAGTGCTCAGCGTTCGCGTCTCCTCGAAGACATTGGTATGCATCGCAAAATCTCGCAGCACCATCGAGATGGGCACAAGCTCAGGCTCCCCCCCCCCCACCCCATGTGACCTGACCAATGCATGTAATGGGAATTGGTTGAGGATTAATTTAATTCCGTGCAAGAAGCCGGCCCAGCGTTTAAGTTGCATTCGTATCGTGCCATGGCTCCGGTCGTCAGTAGTTAGTTATCTCGTTGAGCCACGGCCGTTCCTGTGCGCAGCCAAATTTATGGTGTCGGGGGAATGGATGATGTTGTTCATTGGAGTGTGTGTCCGTGCTGCATGTATTGTATCGGTCGCGTCCTTGACAATGAATTGTCACAAATGTATATTATAAATATTGCGCAAATTCCGGTAGGCATCGAGCAAATTGTTTTTTTTCGAGGTGAGCATGTATTGAACTGGCCTGCTTTCATATTAGTGGGCCTCTGTGGTTCACCGCCATCGATGGTCAACTTCCTTTTGGCACCCTCCCACTATAAACTGCTAGAAACCAACGCATTATAGTTCCGCTCATGATAAACGCACCTGATTGAAAACTGCCGCCCAGTCCCATTCCATAAAGAGACGTCCTCTGACGCGTTTGAGAAGGCTCGCTCAATGGAATGGAGCAAGCCGTCTAGTTTATGGCTGGCTGCCGCCCCGTGCCGTGTGGCCGTCGCTTGCTGGGGCTATGGATAGTGCTGCCCGTTGCCTCCGGGGGACTATGTCTGCCATATACGGTGCGCGGCATGCGTGTCCAGGACAGCTGGTGCGGCTATACTGGGAGAGGGGGGCCCACCTAAATTTGGGCCCCCCTTGTAGTAATTAATATCTCCCGAAGTTCCGGGGCGAGGAGATTTGTGTGTTGTGACCAGCGCTTCCAGCGACGTCGCCGACGAAGGGGGAAGATCGCCAGTTGTTTTGTGAGCCGCGTGCCAGTTTGCGGCCGATCATGGCCTCTCTGTGTCCTCGCCGCGTGTTCTGTGGGCAGATCTCCCATGTGCTGCTGGCGCGGCACGTGACAATTGATGACGAACGTCCGCAGCGATTCGGATGGACGTGTGGCGGTAACTGATAGCCGGATTTTGCAGTGTTACCCGCCGCTACCGCCGTCACCGCCGTCTGTCAGTATCCCCGATGTTAAATAACTTAACGGTGAATGGAGCCGCGCGGGTGCACTGTACCCAGCGGGTTGCGCTGAATACGATTCCCCCATCGTGCGGAACACGCGCGTCACGCGCTGCGCTCGGCTGCCGAGTCAATTGGCAGCGCAATAGACGTTCTTATTAATCTCGAACACCGCTATTTAATCCCCGGATCGGTTGCCATTGTCAACTGGCGCGCACGCTCTAGACGGCGGCGGAGGCTGGGGCTCGCACGCTGCCGCTCCGTTCGTTATCTCGCTGTTGTTGTTGCGTGAATTCAAATGGGCGGCTGCCACGCTGGAATGCTCTTGCCGGCCTCACCTGCTTTTACTGTATGGCTGGGCACAGCAGTACAGGCACCCTTTTTACCCGCTGCATTAGCATTTCGAGTTTGCCCGCCTTGTGCTTAGCTGTTAATTTCCAGGCATTTATGTGGGGTGGACGGAAATTTTATGGTTGATAAGGCTCATTGGTAGTGAGCTTGTTTAAAAAAAAATAGCCACATGCACAATTGAACAAAAAAGTTAGTCACATCGCGGTATTGGCTAGTGGACGTCTCTCGCACGCTTTCTCAACTTCTTGATAACGCTCTCTACCAGCGAGACCGCCCATAATCGACTACCTCTGTGTGTTGTGCTCTGTGTGTTTCTCCCGCAGAATGATTGACGATCGGGCGCAACCCTCAAAGGTCATGGCAGACCGTCGGCAGCTCTTCCTCGAAATGCGTACGTCTTGCACGCAGCGGGCGCGTGCGATGGGGTTCGTGCACACGGGGGCGGCGGTGAGCGCGGAAATAGCTCCATGAGAGCTCCGCCTGAGCTCCACGGTAGTTCCATGGGAGCTCCATAAGAGCTCCACGAGAGCTCTGCGGGAGTTCCACGGAGCTCCATGGCCGCTCCACGGGAGCTCCATAAGAGCTCCACGAGAGCTCTGCGGGAGTTCCACGGAGCTCCATGGCCGCTCCACGGGAGCTCCAGAGAGCTCCACGAGAGCTCCATGGGAGCTCTACAGGAGCTCTGCGGGAGCTCTACGGGAGCTCTACGGGAGCTCCAGGGAGCTCCGGGGAGCTCCAGGGAGCTCTGCGGGAGCTCTGCGGGAGCTCCAGGGAGCTCTACGGGAGCTCCAGGGAGCTCTACGGGAGCTCTACGGGAGCTCTTCGGGAGCTCTTCGGGAGCTCTGCGGGAGCTCCAGGGAGCTCCGCGGGAGTTCTACGGGAGCTCCAGGGAGCTCTACGGGAGCTCCAGGGAGCTCTACGGGAGCTCTAGGGAGCTCTGCGAGAGCTCTACAGGAGTGCGTCGACATTCTGAAGGCGCACCGCCGCTGTGGATGTAAAGGCGCTTGACTAACCTTCGTTGCTGGGAAAACTGAGCAGGCAACAGTGACGCTCAGTGATGTTTTGCCACAATGCGCCCTCCGCTTCTTGAGATGCCGTACAAGTTAAGCGTGTAGCGATTCGTCAGATTAATCGATTTCGATTCATTGTGTAAGTGTTTTAAGTTAATGTAGCGAACAAAACTGTACAACCAAGACGGATAATAATGAGGAACAGAAGCAGTGAATTACACGATTAAAATAGGATGAAATTAAATGTATTATTGAATCGTGCGCAGGGATTCATTTTAGCTTTGTCCACCTGGGTTGGCGACCAGCAAAACAATTCTGCACCGGGCACACTGCATCCGTTATACCGCTCGCCATGTGCTGTGTGACTGCCGCTCGCCACGTTTATTTTTCTCCGCGCGAAATTAAGCACCTGATCGTATAAACCCCGGCGCCCTCCCTCCGCCCCCCACAATCGCGACGACTCGTCAAATCTTGCTGGGTTTTTTTTGGGTGAGGGTGGTGGGGCGGCGAAAATCTCTACGTGTCAACCGAACGGGCGACGCGATTGTGAGCGTTGCACGACCAACGGGTGCTTCTGCGGGGGGGGGCACTTGCGATTGCGGTGTGCACCGGAGCATTGCAGCGGCGGATATTAGTGGATGTTTTCCAAATGTCAGCTTTTATGTGCGCATCTCCGGCAAATGGGCGATGACAGGCTAGCGGCGACGGATAATGCCAGAAGTGGCCGCTAATTGCCTTTGCCTTCATGGTCGTGATTGCCTGACGGGGCCACGTGGGGCCAGCTAATAAGAGCGGCCACTTTTGGACAATATTCGTGTCCATTATTTGGAATTGTGAATCTGAATATTTTCCAGGCGGGTGGCTGGTAGATGTGGGGTTAGGTGGCACGTGGCTAAGTGAAGCACGGTCCTTGCGAAGGGGTGTTCTGGATGTGGTGTGCCAGGTGCAGACGTTATCTTCCTGGTCGCCGACCTGGACAGGCCCGAGACCAGCCGTGCACGCAACGGCCTCTGTCTTTCATTTTGGTGCCTCGAAATGTTGAAGAACCCTTCATAGTAATTGTAAATTTAACTTGTAAAGCGCCGCACAACATTTGCTCGCACTTGAAGTGGGAGAGAACAACTCGGAAACGCGAGGAGGGAACCACAGACAAGTGGGAAGGCGGCAGCCAGGCGGTAATTCGGTGCCAACAATTGCCCAAGCTCTGCAGTTGTCTATACATTAAGATGTTTTCAGTCAGTTAATGAGTGCTTACGTGTAAGAGGAAGCCGGTGCACCCGGGGAAACCATACAGACTTAACAGGTAATTTTGCCGTACCAACTTTTTCCTGGAGAGCCAAGGTACGGTTCCTCCTCGACGCCCACTGGGGGGAGGGGAGTTTTCTCCACAACGTCCGTGTGCGATCCACCAACCTTCGCCTTCAGTGTCTGATTGCAGGCCACGTGCATCGCCGCCGCCACGTACCCCTGTCGTGAGGATGCTCGATGTGGCTCACCGGAGTGTCGTGCTTGAGCCACGCCCGCGCGTTCACCGGCCAGCCGACCAGGCTGGCGGACGAGAGCGCATGCCGCGCTGCACCGCGTCTTTCTCGCCGCTGCCATCCATGTGACTCCTGCCTTTTTTTGTTGTTTGCAGGGGCTCAGAATTTCGACGCCATTCGGCTGTCCACGTACCGCACGGCTTGCAAGCTTCGCTTCGTTCAAAAGAAATGCAACCGTGAGTTGGCTGGTTGCTGTGAAAAGAGTTTGTTTGTTTTTTTGCTTGCGTGGATGCCGTCGTGAACTTTGCTTTGATCGTAAAGAGCTGTAGACCTCGGAAGTCGGGTAAATTTATTTTTTGTCGTCTAAGTCGTGCTTTCGGTGAACTTATGACACGTGTAAAAGAGTTACTTCTTTGTGTGAAGCCAGTTATGAATGGGCTTCGCATAGTGTTATTGACTGTTTATGGATTACTGTTGATTATAGCAGTGGTACCAAACCTTTCTGGGACCCGCCTTCAATAAATGTTCACAGAGCTCCGTGCTCCAATGACATTATACCGAAATTAAAACTACTCCACATTGTCGTGTCTGCCGCGGTTCTGTGGACCTCTTCCCTTCAGCCTTGCAGACCCACAGTGACCCAAAGGCCCATAGGTTTGGAACCAGCTTTCAAGTTTATTTCGTTTAACTGGGTGGTAACTCGAGGGTCCAGGATCGGTCTAATTTGCAAGAAAGGCCTGGGGGCATCAAAGTGACAAGAGCAAAACAAGTAAAATATCGTACAGAAATTAAGCAAATAGTAGTCACAGCGGAAACCACTGTGTCACAGGTGAAATCGAAAATATTGCACAAACACAAGTAATCGTTAAATAATAACTTTTCTGCAGCGCAAGGTGACCCTAGCTGAATTATTGTAAGACTCATCATAGTACAATTATAAGTTAAGTTATGTAAGTATTAAACAGGTTACAGTGTGACTTTTTGTACTCGTATGTAAGTGGACAAGGATTATATGTAAAAATGCCGCTCCATTCCAGACCAGATTTTGCCTGCCAAACCAAATGTTTTTGAAAGACATTGATCTAGGACACCTGAAGCATGAAGGACCAAAACAATATTTTATTTTTACTTGGTCAAACAAAACCTCGTGTTTTTTTTGTGTTAATGATCCATGGGGCAGCCCATCCAACAGGCGGCGTGACCCAAGGCACTCGCACAGCAACTTTACCTGACCCTTGTCAGACATTCACCGCCCACCTGACATTGACCACTTGCCAGTTGACCCTCACCACTCACAAGTCGTGATATACATAGATAGGCACGTACATTCCTACAGAGATACATGCACACAGATGAAGTGCAAATGATACAATACAAAACTATTTTGTGATGCTGCTGCTGCGTTGGCTGGAGTGCACAGGCACTAATAACAGTAACAATAGCTCGACACGTTTGTCAATACCACTGTGGCCTTAAAAGGGAAAATACATGATAGCCGACGTTTCGGGCCATGGTCCTTATTCATAGCACATAAAAATCATTTCCTCTTCAGGCAGTGGTATTGATGCCTGTTAATTGTGCTCATTGATATAGACTTGATTACGCACACTCCAGAAATATTGTACGTAGTAGATTAGTACGAGAATGCCAATTCGGTTCCTTTACACGCGTGACCTGAAGTTGATCCTTTTTTTATTTTTCCTTTCCAAAAGTATTTTATTGAACAAACGATTCCGGTGCACGCACACAGGGCATGTATGGGAGATTACACCAGTATTATAGAAACAATGCGAAGTACAATGATAATTATTAGCCGACGTTTAAAATGTTGAACACGTCTGTGTGTGTCAGTAAACTGTACATCCCTCGTGCCTACTTCCCTAACTCGGATAACCCACCCGGGGAAGGACGCGTAGGGGTGGGGGGCAGGGAGAGGAAAACGACAAGGGGGACGTGGAGTTGGTGGTGTGCGCGCCGCTGTTCCCGCAGTCCACCTGGTGGACATCTGGAACATGATCGAGGCGTTCCGCGAGAACGGCCTCAACGCCTTGGACGCGGGCGCGGAGGTGAGCGTGGCGCGGCTGGAGAACCTCATCGCCTCCGTGTACTACCAGCTGAACAAGCGGCTGCCCACCACCCACCAGATCCACGTGGAGCAGTCAATCAACCTGCTGCTCAACTTCATGCTCGCCGCCTACAACGGGTAGGGCGTGCTTCCTGGGCTTGTAGATCTTGTGTCAGAGGTACGATGGAAATGTACTCCTTACTATAGATCTATCTTTCGTTTAACATCTATCCATATTATTAGGAAGCCACTGGAGCTATGCAATTTTAAATCTGGATTGGAAACTAATTTCTTTAGAACTGATTTTTGTGTTTAGTTGTTCTTCTCTCCGCACCACCGATTAGCACGGTTGGTTATGTTCGGTGTGGAATAAGTTGAACATGCATCCATCCTCACCGTTAACCTGTGTCCAGCCTACATTCAAAACCAATCCTAACCACAACCTGGACCCAGCCACCATTCAGATCCATCCTCACCCTAACCTGGACCCAATCGCCATTCAAACACCATCTTAGCCCCAACTCAAACACAGCTACCAATCAGGCTCCATCCTGGCCCAGCCACGATTCAATTCCTATCCTCGCCCTAGCTATACCTAAACTCGTGTTTAGACTCTAGCCCGCTTCTAATGTGGCCACGGCCACAAATCAGACGCCATACTAACCCCAACCCAGACCCAGCCACCAATCCGACGCCATACTAACCCTGCCCTTGACCCATCCACCACTCAGACGGGTTCCCTGCAGCACCGTCGTGACGCGTGAACCCCGCTGTGTCGGCAGGGAAGGCTGCGGCAAGATGACGGTGTTTGGGGTGAAGGTGGCGCTGGCCACCATGTGTGGAGGCAAGGTCGTGGACAAGCTGCGATGTGAGTGCACACACGCACGGGCGCACGCACGGGCGCACGCACGGGCGGGGCTTGCGGTCGGGGAATTCTGCTCGAGATGGGCCCCGGGTTTCCCTTCGTGGGCGATGCTGGCGAGGGTCATTTAAGAAAAGTCGTGTCGCTGCTTGCTCTGGCTTGATGTCAAGTTGCCCGAAGCGGAGGTTGGGTTCTGCTTCGTTAATCAGTCTCTTGAGTGTTCGACCAGTAGCAGTGGATGCAGCGTGCTTGTTTGTGACGCAACGCTCGCTTACGATTGACGCTCACCTTTGATCTTTGCTCACCCACGATTCACGCTCGCCTGTGTCTGCGTGCCACGTCCTCTGCATACCCCCCCGTCCCCCCACCATCACTTGCCCACCGCAGATATTTTCTCCCAGATCTCAGACTCAAATGGAGTCATGGTCCTGAACAAGTTCGATCAGTACCTGCATGAGGTCCTCAAGCTGCCCACGGCCGTCTTCGAAGGGCCTTCCTTCGGCTACACGGAGCAGGCTGCCCGCTCGTGCTTCCCACACCAGGCAGGCCCGCACACTGCGACAGCCTCTCCAGCACCGGCCTGCACAGCGATCGCCTCTACACAACCAGTCTGCACTGTGACAGCCCCTCATCCAGCTTGCACACAGACAACCTGTCTTGTACAGCATACGCACTGGCACCCTGTCTCTTACAGCTTGCACCCTGACAACCTGTCTTGTACAGCATACACACTGGCACCCTGTCTCTTACAACATGCACCCTGACAACCTGTCTTGTACAGCATACACACTGGCACCCTGTCTCTTACAACATGCGCCCTGACAGCCTGTCTCTTACAACATACACACTGGCATCCTGCTTCTTAGAGAGCCTGCACACTGACAGAGTTTCTTCGAATACAAAGACAAAGAGCCTCCGTATAGCCTGAACAGACTGTTGGGGAAAGTACGGCTAGTGAGCACCTAATGAAGCTGGGAACGGCACACGAAGGGGTGGGTGGCCAACACTATGCACGGCCGCCTTTGTCTCTCCAGTGGTGATGTTTACACACCACACCAGGTACTCAATTGAGGCTGAGTCGACCTAGGGTAGGCCCGGGACCGCATCAGATAATCGTCACTGGTGTTGGCCGTGAGCGAGAATGGAACCCGGGTCGCCGGGTTCGTAGCGCAGCGCTAACCGCTAGACTGGCGCACACCACACACTCGCACATGCAGTGAAATGTTTATCTTACAGCTGTAACAGATAGTTTGTAGCTTGGTTGTTATTTCTTTCAAGTTTACTTTTTGTGATGTACAAAGATGTGTTGCTAACGCGGCTCGCGGTCGAGTGCGCCGACTGCCGCTGTTGTGCGGCACCGGTTCTCCGCCTTTTAAACAACACGTGTGTGAATCTCCTGGCCAGCCACAGGGAGGCAGTGTTGTTTTCAGAATGGTTCCTGTTGGAAGCTCAATATTAAAAAAAAAAGTTTCTTCCCAGCCGCTGCTGGCCTCTTCAACAAGGCCAAGGGCTTACACTGACTTTAACATTTTATCTACAAAATGACACCTTGCCATATTTACACTATGTTACCCTATTTGTATTTTTTGTTGTTTTAGATTGTATCTTATAGCTACTTTATATTAAGATTTAAGATTCCTATATGTTGAATGTATGCACCTTCCTGCCAAAGTAAATTCCTTGTCTGTGCGAACTTTCATGGCGAATAAAACCCTTTCTGATTCTGATTAATAGACTGGTGGTTCCCAGCGTTTCTGGACCCCGCATAATCACTGTCAAGCCTCAAAACAGTTTTTCCTGCGCCGCTATGCAAATGTTTTATGATATGTATGTTGAACTTCTTTCTCGCCGCCCTTCTCGACCGCACCACCCACCCCCCGCCGGGTTTTTTTTTCCACTGCAGAAGAAAGTGACGCTCAACGTGTTTCTGGACGCGCTCATGTCGGACCCGCCGCCGCAGATCCTCATCTGGCTGCCTCTCATGCACCGCCTGGCCAACGTGGAGAACGGTGAGTTGTGGAGTCACCTGCGGTACTACACCCCCCCCCCTCCCCCCCCACCTTGCGCTCGGGTGAAATGTGCTACTGTGCATGGAGTGGCACGAAGGAGATGGCGGCTGTGAAAAAGAGCTTAACAGCTCATGGGATTCCTCCAGTATGAATTAAGATTCTGATTTGTCGAAATGGTGATATGGCCACGTTCTGGGCACTCATGTGAGTCGCTTGTCTGGACAAGGCTGGGAGTACGACATGCACGCACACCATGATGGGAGTCCTGCCTGTTTGTGAGCAGCACACCTTTGTGTCCTGTTAAATCTAAATATGTTTTTCAGTCTACACAAATCTTCCTGTTGCGATGGGTTATTTCGAAATGTGGAGTAGTAAAACGACGCATCGATTCTTAATGGCAATTACTGAGTTCAGTGGAATGCTGCCATGATGTAACGGTTAGCGCACCGCAGAATAACCCAGCAGTATAAATGGCTACGACACAGATCAGTCGATCGCCAGGTTGCGTATGGTGGGGTAAAGTGTGGGCACTCCCACCTCTTCCAAGACGTCCAACCAGCGTGGAAGAGTAGGCCAAATATACCTTCTAGACGAGGAGCTCTCTAGAGCACTCTCAAGTGGGCAGGCTTTTTCATTCAGCAGTGGCGAGACAAAACCACTTCGCCGGACAGCAGTGGCTATGCACGTGGCCTGTAATCCAGCACTGTGGAGGCAGCGAGGGTTCGTGGATTGCACAAATGTTGTGAAACCCTCCCGTGGGCATATGAGGCGTCAGTATCCTGGCTCGCCAGGAGAAGGATGTAAAGAAAGTGAACTAATCGCCATTTGTTTCCATCCGTATGGGGATAGCGGTGTCCCCCTCGCACATACGTGTTTCCCCGGGCACTTCGTTTCCCTCCCAGGTGTATAAACACTTATTTATTCGCTGATAACATCTTGAAAAAAAACATTTGTAGGACCCTCCTAAAAAAGTGTCTTTCCTGGATAAATAAGTAACGATTACAATATTTTTTTTATAACGTTATTTACCGTGGTCACACAAAGTCGACTGAGCGGGGGTTCGTGTCGTGCGGGCGCGCAGTGTTCCACCCGGTGGAGTGCTCGTTCTGCCACAGCGAGAGCATGCTGGGCTTCCGCTACCGCTGCCAGCAGTGCCACAGCTACCAGCTGTGCCAGGACTGCTTCTGGAGGGGCCAGGCGAGCAGCACCCACTCGAACCAGCACCAGATGAAGGAGTACACCTCGTGGGTATGTGCAGCCAGCGCCAACGCACACACACACACACACACGTGTGGTGTTTTCACACGCGTGTAAAAGACAAAGATCCCCTGCATAGCCTGAACAGACTGTTTTGGCAAGTGCTGTTAGCGAGCACCAGGTGAGGGGTGGGTCGCCAACACCACACCGGGCCGCCTTTGTCTCCCGGGCGCTGATGTTTTACACACTGCACCAGGTGCTCATTTAAGGCTAAGCAGACCTACCTAGGGGAAGGGCTCGGACCGGTTCTAATATTCTCTGCTGTTATTGGTCATAGGCAGGAATAAGACTCGGGTCGCCGGGTTCGCAGTGCAGTGCGCCAACCGCTACACCACGCACACACGCGCACATGCGCATGCATTCCACAAGCACCACGTGAAGGAGGAGTACAGGTGACTCATACGAGCACACACACACGCACACTGATGTGTTGAGCAGTGTTCGATGTGTGCATGGGTTGGTCCATTTATAGATGGCCCACTAAAATAGTGCCGATAAATTATAGAGAGCTTAGCGTCCTATACCAAAGTCTCTGTGTCTCTCGCCAATTTTAATGCGACTTATTAAACCTTTTATATATATAAAAAAAAACTCTCCTGTAAGATATAGAGCCAGCGCTCGTACAATATTCAGTCACCTGCAGAGAAGAAAGTTACAGGGACAGCGTGAATCATCATTGGGGCGGTGATACGGTCCAGCGGTAGCGCGTTCGCTGCTCGTTGCAGGTGTTCGCGATTTGAATCCGGCAGGTCGTCCTGGTTACTACTGCCGGTGTATTGACCGTAAAATACTGCCCGCCGTTCGCTGCACAGCGGACGTTAAATATACCGTGACAACATCCGAAATGAGTAGGCCATTGTGTGCCATGCGTCATGGTCAAAATTTGCCCCAGTTTGAAAAATTACAACAGCACATTACTCAGATTTGCACTCTCGCAGCATTAAAGCGAGCACCACATAAATGCAAAGGTTGTTATTACATTTAACTCGTAGATTTTCACATTCAATATAACGATCTGAAAAGTATTTTTTGGGTTTGGCCATGGAATTATTATTATTATTATATTTGATGATTATTATCTATAAATGGATTGCACTGTATTTTTGTCATGTGCTCCCGGACCCACGCTAATCTTTCCTCGCTTCCTCCTCCTTCCACCTCCCATCTCGCCCCCTTCCCCACCACGTCCCCGTAGAAATCCCCGGCGAAGAAACTGACTCGTGCTCTGAGTAAATCTTTGGGCTGCGTGCCGAGCCGCGAGCCCGCACACCCCATGTACCCCGACCAGCCCGAAAAGCCCCTAGACCTCTCCCACATCGTGTGAGTATAGCCGGACTTGACACAACCCCCCCCCCCCCCTCCTCTCTTCCTGACACCGGGGGGCCGCCGAGGGTTGCCGCGATATTGTTCTTCACGACGATGCCAGATATCACGGTTCACAATGGCATTATCAGATTGTTAACAGTGATGAGTTTCGTACTTGAAAATTTTGCAATTTGTATTTTTAAGGACGGTTTTAAATCTTTTTGTTGCTTTTTACAAATTGTATTTGTCGTAATATTTAGCTTTACATATGCTCGTCATTCAGTCACATTGCATCTCACAAATGCTGTGGAATCACAGACAAGCCGGAAGGCAACCGGGCAGTGAACCGGTGTCAACAATTGCCCAAGCCCTGCAGCCCTCTATATTGTAAGAAGGTGTTTTTAGCCATTTATTGAGTGATTATACATTATGTACATGACGTGTATTCGTACTAATAACAGTGATGTCACCCACTGCCACATGGACACCACTTTTATTGGGAAAAGCGCGGAGTGACGTATCATCTTAAGTGACGTCATACTTTCACATTGACCCAAGCCTACCTTTTTTTCTGATCGGAAATTCATATCTAGGCCCAATTTTGATATTTTTCAGATTAATATAAAAATCGGGAACATCCCTAGCTTGTAATTGTATTTCACGTTTTTAAAGAATATTTTTTTCTGCTTTCGCTGTACATCCAGCACTGAATGATTTACTTAAAAGTTATTCAACTACAGTCCACTCAACTCCAGCCTTCCATATGTCTTGCAAATAATTACCATTTCTCGGACTTAGAATGCACACGCTGCCAGTAACACTGAATATAAATAAATAACTTGTTAAATGACCCACGGCAATTATGGCGTTACACAATAGCCACGCAGTCAATGAGTCAGAAACACATTTTGCCGAGCGATAATTTAATCGACAATAGCTGTCTCATTCACAACTGTAATCATTGCATTTGTTATTTCGTATATAATTTGCCACGAATAAAACATTAAAGAAAAAGAAAATGAACAACAAAAATTGCGGTTCACGACGGTATTTTGCAAAACGGACGGTGCATCTCCCTGGATCTTATGCCGTACGATGTATCGGGAGTATCGCTGTTTCGTGGCACCCTGGAAACCAGCCACCTACTCCTCTCCCTCCTGGATCTCACGGTTGTTTTTCTCACATCTGTCTGTTACCATTCCTGTTGAGAGATTTTCGGTGATTGTGTTGCCCGTGACTGACATGCTGCCCTGTGTGGTGGTGGTGTGATGCGTACCGGCAAGGTCATGCCAAATATCGCAATGTAGCTGGAGGGTGTTACTCTATGTATGTATGCACGTTGAACTTCTTTTGCACTGTACCTACCCAACCGTGCTAATCTGAGGTGCGGAAATACATTACTGTACAGTGATGATGTTGCCACAGCGGTGATGATAGGTGTGTTTTGTGAGGCTTCGATTCTCTTGATGCTTTCGATATATAGTTGCTATATACATCAGAGATGTTCACACTGGATAATCCCCGTTGCACAAGGCCATTGTGGAAAACAGAAGTAGATTTCATCCTTGTTACGGGATCATGCAATCCTAAATAATGACAGGTTTCTTACCAAGCCACTGCTATTATCTAATCATTTCCTATATCGATGTATATAGTGCCTTAGCGCAAGGCCCTTTACAATAACAATAAAATTGTACATTAGATGACAATGGTTAAAATAAAGAGTGGGATTATTAAACACGGTGGTGTAGCTGTGGTGACATTAAGGAGCACAGGTGGGAGTGGTTAAGTGATGGGTTGGGGTAGGGGGTAGTGCTTGATGAAGACCACCTACGGAGTGTAAGTCATGTGGGTAGTTTGACCATTCTTCACCGTGCTGATTAGTGCGGGTCGATAAAGGGGATGATGCTCAGGACCGGTTCATACATCACTCGCCATGAACCCAGGAGCGCCGGGTTTGTTGCGCAATGCACCAACCAACTGCCACCACCAGCCCTGGCTATCTTGGCAATACCTGCTGGTAATCACGTGAGCAAATTGGCTGGCACTGTGGTCAAGACTTCTCCATGGGCTTCCACATTTCACATGGCCCAATGAATTTCAGGCCCTTCCCCCCCCCCCCCCCCAAAACAAGGATGGAGAATATTTTCATTCCCAGGTGGGGACTGGGGTTATTAAGCGAGATTTGACTCGCCCGAGTGCAAAACAGTTTACAGAAAGAATCGACGTAATTTTTTTCAAGGTGAAATGGTTGAAACACGCGGACGTTGCTCATTTCGCATGTGGGCGAGCGCGGGAAAAATCGTCTTTCCTGTCCTCCTTTTTCTTCTTCTCCTTCTTCGCATGAATAATTTGCCTTTGTTGCTGCAGTTGAGACAGAGAGGTCGGTCCGTGGCTGTCCGTCGTGTGGCTAAATGCAGATGGGCACAATCCGGTTCACTGCTTAATTTGCGAACTGTAGAACCTTCACGATGCTTTGTGCATCAGCATTCGCATTCGTGCTGCGCCCGCAACCCCCTTTGCGCGCTTGAGTACGAGCGATATCAAATCAGAATTCCTTCTTGCCAAACAACACAATACAAACACAATACAAACAGCACGATTCTGTTTGTTTCTTTGTTTACAGGGTGATTCGATCAATCGCTGTGATTCTGGATCACGATTCGATGAAAGATTATATTCGTTTTTACACGCTTTCCAACAAACGTTAAAAGTGTCCGTTGCATGAGCTCTCTCCGTCGGTCTGTAACGAGGGCGCACGAATAACTCCCGTGCAGATGATCCAATGTGAGCTAAACTGTAGCATTACTGGTGTTGTGTCGTTGCTCTTTGGGGGAGGTACCCAGTTAATAACGATTAAAACCGATGGAATAGTTGCCTAAAGCTTGGAGGCACAAAGCAGCAAACATTTTTACGATTTGTAAAATGTGCAAACGTTTGTCTGGCCCTGACAGCTCTGCATCCCCGCCTTCATACTGCTAATAAAATGCTTCCAAAGACGAACTCGATTTGGACTAGTGTCACACGGACCCATGGCGTATACACGATTTTTCATTGCTTGTTTTGCCATAATAGTGCGGCGAATGGTAGCGCCTCCGGTGACTGCAACGGTGACTCAAACCGATTACGAACAGCATACACAACTCTAAATGCATTCATTTTCACGCACACACTATTTCAGCCGGGCCAGGTTTATGTCACGTTGGCACTGTGGATGACCGGCCCTCTGTCCACCTGGCATGTTGCCTCGTGCATGTCATTGCCTGCGGCTGTTTAAACAGATCCAGGGCTGAATTAGGGCTTTGTTTGTTTTGGAGCGGTTGGGCACAGCGGTTCGCCCGCTGCACGCTACGGAAGGCGGCAATCCGAGTTCGATTCCCGGCCATCGCTAACGTGCAAGTAATAATAATCATGGTAATTTTAACTTGCCAAGCGCCGCACAGCATTCGCTCTCGACGAGAGAGAATGACTCGAGAGGATCGAGGAGGAACCACAGATGAGCGGGAAGGCGGCGGCCACACAGTCAGCCGGTGCTAGCCATTGCCCAAGCTCCGCTGTCCTCTGTATATTAAGATGTTATTGGCCAATGAATGATGAGTGTTTTACACGTGGGAGGAAACCGGAGCAGCTTCAGGAATCCCACACGTGCCAGGAGGAAACACTGTAGTCTATCCAGGACAGTCCACATTTTTGCTGAACTGTCTTCTCCTGACCAGCCAGGGTATGGCACTACCTCGACACCTACGGGAAGGGAATTTCACAACATGTTGTGCGGTGATCCATCAACCCTTACTGCCACCAGGGTGCTCAATTTCAGGCGTGTTCCACCATTGCTGCAGTGTGGTGAAGTATGGTAATCGCCATGGCGTGGATAGGCATTCATCCATTGGTGGATTGAGAATGGATGTAATGTATTGTATTATGTTTTGTGCTTTGCTTGTAACCAAATCACCCAGAATGCCCTCCGTCTCATCAGTCTTCTCAGAAGTGAAGCATGGTTGAGCCCGGATAGCGTTTGGATGGGCGACCTCCGTGCTGTAGGATGGCCCTCCCTTTCTTCACTAACTTGTACTCACCAGTGTGGGAAAGTGTGGTCTTATAACCTCCATGACCCGCACGATGTGGGGAGGCCCCATCCAGCAGTGGATTGGCAGAAATGGCTGTACATGTACCTGCTGTACGTGTGCTATTGCGTAGTTCCCTATGGCTGTGGTGTTAGGTGCAGTGCCCTCCAACAGGTAAACATTTGAACCAACATTTATATAGATAAAGGTAAAAGTGGAGTCCTGCGATTGCTTGCTCACGCCATTGCTGGCAGCCAGGCCTCCTATCTTGGGAGTTCCTCCGAGCCTCTCTAGAGCCCGACTCTTCTCTGCTGGAAGAGCTGGGAGTACCGACGCTGTACCCCACCACACGTGAGCTGCCAATCAACTGCCGAGTGGACAGAGGTGGCAGTGGTGGATTTAAGAGACTTGCCCCATTGTTGCAACTGTCGCACCGGGAACATTATTTTTATTCCTATTCATCTATAACTGACGGCTTAATCTGCATGCTGCTGCTGTCGGCTGCGGTTAATTTAGACAATAGGTTGCCATGTGCACAAGGGGTTAATGAAGGTTGCGAAACGGATGGCCATGTGACCGGCAGGGATGTTGAGCGTGCTCCTTGAAATGGCGAAATGTCAGCAGCCATGTGGTCGCCCACCACTCATGCCCTGGCGCCTACGTGACCGCGGATCCGCTGCTTCCTGCACGCTTCCTCGATTTAAAGCAGCAAGCAGCAGCAGCAGCCGCCACCGTCTGTGTCCTGGAGTGCTGCAGCGATTGTTCTCTTTTTGTGAGCGAAATGTTTTCAAATTCATGGTGATTTCATTAATCAAATGAGCACTGTGGGGGTGCTCATCTCCTCTTTTAATAGCTCCCGAGCCAGTGGTGGAAATCCCACATTCCTTTGGTGGGGTCGAGTCTCCCCATAGGGGACAGGCACTGTCGGCTTCCCCACAAAGTGCTACACAT